TCCTTATAAGGAAACGGCAATCGATGAAGAACCTTATTATCGGTCACAGGATTCTGAAGTATCTTCCATGACCACTTCGCTTTACGGGTGTAACAGTGCTTCCAACATTTCTGATCGTGTGCTATAGTCTGAGCTCCGGCAGAAGACAACTGAGGTCTGGAACAGACTCCTTCCATATGTTTGCACGAAGTTAATCTTGGCCGTCCCTTGGGCTTTCTGCGAGTCGTCTGCAAAAGAAATAGTTGCTTCGCCTTCCTTTCCACAGCCATTCGAAACCATGGCAGCTCGGAGTCTCAATATGAAGAAGCCTCTGTTCATCGAGGCTCTCGCGGACGTCTGTATTCCAGACAAAATGGAGACACCTAAGGCCAGCGACTCGTCTTTGTAATTCCATTTTTGCCACGTGTACCCGGGATAGAAGCTTTGAAGTCATCGTCCACAAGTCAGAACCTCAAGCGATGCAGAGAAATACTGCATTGAACAGCGAGAACTTTGTCATTAGGCTCAGCTACGCTAGCCTTAGTGCCAATCGCTGAGGATGATTCACGCGGAACGCCGCTGGCTATTCCAATTCGGCGGTCGATCTCTTCCTCAAATTTTATATCACTAGTTAATACGACTCCGAGACAACTGATCCTCGCTACTGCTCCACTGCTCCTCCGTTAATCTAAAGTGAGCAACTAGCAGGGCAATAAGAAACGACTAACATTTACGTTTTAGATGCGTTTACGTGCATACGGTCCATGTCACTTTCAGCTGCTGCTGACTATTCTATCCACATACGACTCAAACATATACAGCCTTGGCGGAGACCAGTGCCAACACTACAAATTTTTAGCTTAAAACCATCCACTCTTACGCAGCAGCTGCTGTTAGCTTATGGTGATTGGAGGGCCAGCAATAACTTGCCATCGATACGACATGTTCGCAGGCACGCCCGCAGACTGATGCCCGCCTCATAGCTTTTCTCAAAGTCAACAAAGCACATGTATACCGGATAGGCGAGCTCCCAGGATTTCTCAACAATTTGGTGCCGGGAAACTACCTGATCAGAGACGCTTTGAATGAGCCGGAAGGCACTCTGTCCTTCTTGCATCTGTTAGTCAGTTATTCGGTAGCACCTCCTTTCTAGCATCTTTCAGCAGACTTTTAGCGAGAGACTCAATAATATAATGCCCCGATAGCTGGAGCACTGCCTCTGACTTCCGTTCTTGAACAGAATGACAATAAGCTCCGTTCACTAGTCCGCTGATATCTTCCCAATTGGAGAAGAGGAACACGTGACAAACGAGTTTATTACTAGTTCGCTTAATGATTTGAGCATTTCATGACGATTTCATCAGTTCCAACAGCCTTTCCAATTTTTCAAGCTTTTCACAGCTTGTGTAATTTCATCTACAGAGAGAGTCATATCCGTACCCTTCTGCTCTACAGGCGAGTCTTCTTCTCTCTCGTTTGCGCGGAGTTGAGGAGTTCCTTAATGTAGTCTCTCCATCGCTGAAGAATGTCCTCGTCCTTGGCAAAACGGTATTCAGACCTGTCCTTCAATACTCTGAGTCTGCCATTCTTTTCAACTCGGAGCCGGCGGATGGTCTGCCAGAATGCTTTGTTTGCCGTGTGAAAATTCGACCCCTACACCTCACCGAACTTCTTCCAAGAATCATCGTTGGCTTTCTTCACAGCTTTCGACACCGTCTTGCGTGCACCGACATCTCCCGGGAGTAGAAGGCTCTTTGTTTTCAAGGCATTTCTTAAACGCTGTCTTCTTCTCTTCAACTGTAATGTGTACCTCTCGTGTCCAGCAGGAAGATCTTTGCTGATCTGCAGGCGGCAGGCCAACCCGTTTATATCCGCAGCATTCGGCGGCAGCCTCAAGTAGGTCGCTCTTAAAGAGCTGCCACTCGGTTTCAACATCAATTGTCATCGCTGGGATCTGTTCAAACCGTCGTGCGATGTTGATTGCACATTTCGCTCTCGTGTCCACCGAAGACAATGTTTCCCATTTGATTCTCCGGTTGCTTCTGCCACCGGTACTCCATTTCTTACAGCGCAGCGTGCCAACAATAAGGTGGTGATCGGTTGATAGCTCTGCGCCTCTTTT